CGGGGGCACCTACCATGCAGGAGGAGGCGCCGTCAGCACCGGCGCACACCATCACGTCGGCGATGCGGTACCCCCAGTACTGCTTGCACTGCGCGTTGGTGAGCAGGGGCAGGGCCACCTGCTGCAGCACCGCCGGCGTGTCCGAGGCTGCGGGCGAGCGGGGCAGCGTCAGCGCCGGGGACGGGGACAGAAATGGGAATGGGGCCAGGGATTGGAAAGGGGATGGGGATTGGGATGTGGACAGGCATGAGGAGGAGGATGAGGACGAGGACTGGGATGGGGTGGAGAGGAGGACAGGAATGGGTCAGGATGGGGGCTGGGGACGTGGATGAGGAAGGGGACGGGGATGATGATGGGGTTGAGGATGGGGATGAGGATGGGTTGGGGACTGGGATGGGGCTGAGGATGAGGACAGGGATGAGGAAGGGGACAGGGATGAGGACAGGGATAGGGATGGGGATGGGGACAGGAAGGTGTGGTACCGTTGGGGTCAGTGAGCCCCCAGCCGGTGGTGACGCAGGTCATGCCCCCTGGGAAGTCGTCGGTGGCCTGGGGCAGGCAGACGGGGGACACGCGAGCCGACAGCCGTGCCGGAGTGGCCAGTTTGAGCAGGGTGATGTCGTCGCGGATGGTCAGCATGTTGAACTTGGGGTTCTTGAAGACCTGGAGCAGGCGGCACCGCTCCCAGTGCCCGCACCCTCGGCCAGGGTGTTAGGCACCGAGGACACCACAGGGACCAATGGCGACCGACGGCAACCAATGGGGACTGACGGGGATCCCGGGCAATGGCCCTGCGCGTCCCGGGCTGACGGGGTCCCTGGGGTGCAGATTCCAGCCCCTGGGGCACAGGGGAGCAGGGCCGCAGCGGGGACTCATGGGGACCCCAGGGAGCAGATGCCAAGTCCTGGGCTGATGGGGGCCCAGGCAGCAAACCCCAGCCCTGGGTGGCAGGGACACCCCAGGGACACCCTAGTGACCAAGGACACCAACAGGGACACCCCAGGGACACCCCAGGGACCAGGGACACCAACAGGGACTTGGAGGGACGCCGGGGGAGGCAAACTCCAAATCCCCATCTGAGGCGCACCCAGGGAGCAGGTGACAACCCCAGGCGCCAATGGGTGCCAGGGAGCAGAGAGCAGACCCCAAACCTCAGGACGACGGGTCCACCAACGAGCCCATGTCCCAGCTGGGGTTGCTGCTGGCCGGGGACCTTGGGGCTGCCCAGGGCCCGCTGTGGGGCAACCCCCAGCCCAGGGGCACTGGGGAGCAGGGACACCCCGGGTCACATCACCCGCAGGAACCGATGGGGACCCTGGCTTCCTGACCCCCATCCCTTGGGGGTCCTGGGGATGGGATCCTGACGCCTGGTGTGAGGGGGAGCAGGGACACCCCAGGGGACCCAAGCCAGGGATGCGGGGCACCATGGACACCCCAGGGGACCTGACCTTGAGGTTAAGGGGACACGGGACCCCCTGCAGACCCGACCCACAGGACAAGGGGGACCTGGAGCCACAGGGCTCCCCGTGGTGGCCGTGGGACCCCGCAGACACACAGCCCCCACACTGGCGGTACCTTCTCAATGGTCAGCCTCTGCTCGTCAGGGGAGGGCGCGTCCTGGTCGTACGCGCCCACCACCACGGTGTCGGTGGTCCTGGGCACAGGCAGGCGCTGAGCACCGGGCACAGGGATGGGGGGGCCCTGGGGGCCCCGTGCCCGTGCCCAGCCCCGGGGGGTGGGTGGCAGATCCGGTGCCTACCTGACGCCGCAGTGGGCAGCGGTGACCACCCAGTTCTCGCTGATCAGCGACCCGCCGCAGAAGTGGAAGCCATTGTAGCGCTGGTGGGGAGAGCTGCTGTCAGCAACCGGCACTGCCGGCACCACCGCCGGGGTGCTCTGTGCCCGGCCCCCGCCCCGGCACCCAGCCCAGCACCCAGCCCTGCTGCGGGCACTCACCTGGAGGGACACCTGCCATGGCCAGGACCCTGGCACTGCCGGCTCCCCGTTGACAATGCGGTTGTAGCCGCGGATGACGGGCGTGATGGCGGGCACGCCACAGCCTGTGGGGCACAGGCAGCCGTGGGACGGGGGCTCTGGCCGCCCTGGCCCCATGCCCCCCCACTGCCACCACCTCCCCAAGCCCCGAGCCCACCCCTCCGAGCCCCACAGCCCCACGCACTCTCCAGGGAGAGGGTGGCACGGGCAGAGCCCGCCAGCGCCAGGCAGCTCAGCAGCCACAGAAGAGCCATTGCCACTTGTGGAGACAGACCCTGCCTGGGGCTTGGCGCCTCTTATACCCGCTGCTGGGCATGGCTCCACCTCTGGCCTCGCTGCCGCGGCCTTGGGAGATAGCGTGGCACCCAGAACGGTGCCAGGACGGGGCCTGGGAGCACGGCACCTGGAGCCAGTGGCCTTGGCTTTAACATGCTCCTTGGTCCTGTTGCCTGCACTGGACACCAGTACTGAGTTCCCCAGTACATGAGAGACAGGGACATACTGGAGAGAGTCCAGGGAGATATGGAAGCGACAGGAGCATCTCTGATGGCAATAGAGGGAGGGTGCAGTAGGACAGAGGTACGCTCTTTCCACTGGTGACCAGGGCCAGGACCAGAGGCAATGGACCACCTAACAGGCAGGAGGGTTCCTCTGACTATCAGGAGACACATTTTCACTGTGGGGCGATCGAGCACTGGCACAGGTTGCCCATGGCAGCTGTGGAGTCTCCATCCATGGAGATACTCAGAAGCCACCTGGACACGGTCCCTGGCTGGGACCGTGGGACGGCACTGGTGGGGTCTAAGTGCTGGCTTTAATGTGTTCCTTGGCCTGGTGCATGGGTCAGTCTGTCACCGAGTCATGAGGTGGTTGAGGTTGGAAAGCACCTTGGAGCTCACTGGTCCTACCCCAGCAGGGCCACCCAGGGACCGTGTCCAGGTGGCTTCTGAGTATCTCCATGGATGGAGACTCCACAGCTGCCATGGGCAACCTGTGCCAGTGCTCGATCGCCCCACAGTGAAAATGTGTCTCCTGATAGTCAGAGGAACCCTCCTGCCTGTTAGGTGGTCCATTGCCTCTGGTCCTGGCCCTGGTCACCAGTGGAAAGAGCGTACCTCTGTCCTACTGCACCCTCCCTCTATTGCCATCAGAGATGCTCCTGTCGCTTCCATATCTCCCTGGACTCTCTCCAGTATGTCCCTGTCTCTCATGTACTGGGGAACTCAGTACTGGTGTCCAGTGCAGGCAACAGGACCAAGGAGCATGTTAAAGCCAAGGCCACTGGCTCCAGGTGCCGTGCTCCCAGGCCCCGTCCTGGCACCGTTCTGGGTGCCACGCTATCTCCCAAGGCCGCGGCAGCGAGGCCAGAGGTGGAGCCATGCCCAGCAGCGGGGATAAGAGGCGCCAAGCCCCCGG